GGGCTGGATGGGAACCCGCCAGCTCAGGTGTATGTGGCTGGTGCCTTAGCTGCTTGAGCCACAGGCACTGAGCCAAAGAGACTTTCTTGAAAGTATTATTGGAAGGACTGTGGCAATGAAGGTGTGACTATTACAGTAGGGAGAAGCATAAAGTTTATGAATGACACCAGAGTTAGGTAAAAGAAAGTTTTCTTTCTTTTTTTTCTTTTTTTGAGACAGAGTCTCACTATGTCACCCTTGGTAGAGTGCCGTGGCGTCACAGTTCACAGCACCCTCAAACTCTTGGGCTTATGCAATTCTTCTTCTTCTTCTTTTTTTTTTTTTTTACAGCAAAGAAAGAATTTATTTATTTGTTTAAGACAGAGCCTCAGCTGTCACCCTGGGTAGAGGGCCATGGCATCACAGCTCACGACAACCTCCAACTCCTGGGCTCAAGTGATTCTCCTGCCTCTGCCTCCCAAGTAGCTGGAACTACAGGCACCTGCTACAATGCCTGACTATTTTTTGGTTGCAGCCATCATTGTTGTTTGGCGGGCCCGAGCTGGATTCAAACCACCCAGCTCAGGTGTATGTGGCTGGCACTTTAGCCACTTGAGCCACAGGTGCCAAGCCAGCTTATGTGATTCTCTTGCCTCAGCCTCCCAAGTAGCTGGGACTATAAGGCGCCCGCCATAACACCGGGCTATTTTGTTGTAGTTATTGTTGTTTAGCATGCCCAGGCTGGGTTTGAACCCACCAGCCCTGGTTTATGTGGCTGGTGCTTTAATCACTGAGCTACAGGCATCAAGCCCATCCAGCCTTCTTTACTGAATGTTTTTTGGTGTTTTTTATGAAGAGTATAGTTAAATTATATCCAATGCCTCGTGAGCTTTTATGAAGATGTGGTCATTATTATTTTTCTCTTTTGATCTCTTTAGGAGTGCATTAAATTAATAATTTCCTATATTAAACCACCCAGCAGTCCTGGTATAAATCATATCAGTCACTGAATATTATTTTTAAATGTGCTACTAAGTACTATTTACTAATAGTTGTTGCACTAGTAACATGAAGTAAATGAAGTTACTCTATAAGGGATTTGTTCCCCCTTTAGAATGCTTGGAAATATTTATTGTCTTCATACCCAAATTGAAGTTTTCATGGATTAACCTTTCTTTCCTTGAGGACTTCATAGGCATAGCTCCCTTATCTTCTAGGGTAGACTGTGCATTGGAGAAATCTGAGGCCAGCCTGTGTTTTATCTGAATGTCCCAAGGAATGCCCCAAGTAAGTTTAGCAGAATATGGCTTATTAATTGAACTTAGTTTTTCCTGACATATAGTGAATACTTTTATTTTCTTTTTTTATTTTTTGAGACAGAGTCTCACTATGTTGCCCTGGGTAGAGTGCTGTGGCATCACAGCTCACAGCAAGCAACCTCAGACTCTTGGGCTTAAGCAATTCTCTTGCCTCAGGCTCCCAAGCAGCTGGGACAGGCACGCCCGCCACGTCTGGCTATTATTTTATTGCAGTTGTTTAGCTGGCCTGGGCCAGGTTCAAACCCTCCAGCTCTGGCGTATATAGCTAGCACCATAACCACTGTGCTACGGGTGCCAAGCCAGAAAGTTTTCTTTATAGGAATAACAAGGCTAGAAAGAACTAGATGTAGGAAAGTGAGAGGAAAGAGTTGCTTGATAGGATAGCAGACTAAAGCATTTTTTATTTTGTAGCGATGAGTCTATGTTGCCTAGGCTGGTTTTGAACTGGCCTCAAGTGATGCTTTCACCTCATCTTTCCAAACTGCTGAGAATATAGGAATGAGCCACCACACCTGGCTGGGAATGTTTCTTTTTTAGAGACAGAGTCTCACTCCATTGCCTTCAGTTGAGTGCTGTGGCGTCACAGCTTACAGCAACCTCCAGTTCTTGGGCTTAGGTGATTCTTTTGCCTCAGCCTCCTGAGTAGCTGGGACTACAGGCACCTGCTACAATGCCCAACTATTTTTTGTTGCAGTTTGGCTGGGGCTGGGTTCAAACCCTCCACCCTTGGTATATGGGGCCAGAGCCCTACTCACTGAACCGCAGGTGCCACCCAGCTGGGAATGTTTTATTCTTCTCAGAAGTGCTTAACGTCTGGCTAAGG